TATTAAGCTTATAGATATAATCAACAACAGCTATTCCAGGATCTCACCACTTAAGAATCTCAAGGGAGACCAGATTTATTTCTGTAACAAAATTTTGTGGTAGGTCTATGTATATGAACATACACACAATTTTATACACTTAACCATCATCAATTTTTCTGTATATTATAATCCTCACAGGATAAAGAACAAAATCATGAATTGTGTAGCCTTAAAAATTGCATAAAATCAGCCGATTAATGCTAAAATGTTTTTGATTTTGTATAGCAAACTAGCCTGGCTGAACTGATTATCCAAAGCTGTTATCTTTTACTTTAGTGTTTTTATTATTTATTGTTTAATTTAATTTGTAACAATTTTTTGTTGTTTTAATTGTATATTTGGACATTCTTAACCATAAATGATTGCTTCTTCAACACAAAGATGCCCAAGAACAATATGCTGATCAATCTAGCAGCTTAGAGTCGGATTTGCTTTTCTAATGCAATAATGTATGCTCAGGACAACGTGCTTTGACTTCTAATAATTCTCTCTTTATGATTAGTTTTAGAATAGTGAGGAAAGTATCTATCAAAGATGGTAGTACATTCACAATGTCAGTCTTCATTTTCCAAAACACGTCTTGCTGCTTGCATTGGGAATGGTAAATAGTGTTGACACCCATTAGATTGTATCAATATACCATATACAGTAATGTACAAAATAATGTTTATGACAAATGCAATGTGGAAATTGTATTTAAAATTCACATCATCATTCAGTGCCACATTTTACTGTGGACACATACACCTTTTCTCAAAGGCTACACACCAGCTTTGTTCTTTATCATGCAAAAAGTATAATTCATATTTCAATTTTTGCTAGTTTTAAATTTACACTAAAAAAACAACAAAAATTAAAAGAAAAATATACCAAAATGTTATGCCAAATAAACTTAATTCCTAACACAAGTAATGAGAGAGAGCTTGAGCTCAACATTATTATTATTTCTTGTAAAATACAAAATATTTTAGGAATAAAATACAAATGAAAGTTCATTACTTTCAATTTAAAAACAGATTTTTAAATCCAGTTTAAATTTACTGTTTTTACTTTTTAATATAAAAATTTTTTAATTAAATAAATTTCAAACAAAAATAATTATTTTTTCACATTACTTAGATGATATATCCTTTAACCCATCCTCTACAGATAAATACATATTGTGTTAAAATGTTCTACTATTTAATCAGATTTCATATATCATTTCAGATCAAAAATATACCTCTGTAAATTTATCAGCAACCATGTATCTCACTCTCCAAGATTTGTCTTCTGCTGCTTGTCTCAAAGTAGCCATCACAAACTGTTCGACGTCGTCATGAGGTAATAATTCAGCAATGGAAACACAAACCACTACTAATTTAAGGTGAAGAGCATATATTTTGAATTAAATTAATAAAAAATATGATTAAAAATTGCAGCCCGGCATTGTGACGATGTCACAATAAATAATTGCTTGTTTTGTAGCTATAAATTATCATCATTATCATCCATCCTACTTACAGCAAAATTCATCCGTGGTTTCTTCATACGAAATATGAATTAATACAAACATAATTACAGTTATAAGCAGCAGAAACTTCATGCTCGGAGTTAATTAAACCAATTTATCATTAAAAGGAAACGTGATAACAGGAGAAAGGTTTTATGAAAAGCGACCTTTACAAAATTATTCTTAATTTAAAATATCAGCGCTAGAAATATATACAGTGGTGCCTCAGTGCACGAACTACTCCCAACTCGAATAATTCGATATTCGAATGCACGTTAAAAAAAAAACAATGCTCGATAATTGACTGCATGCTCGGCACTCGACCGAAAAATACGACCTGCTTAAACAAATATTTTTATTTTAACTTTAATTCTGTTATCCGTAAAACTTTCCCGCGATAAAAATAAGTATCTAATTTAAAAATAAAATAAAAGCCTAGAGTTGAATATCTTCGTCAGACAAAATTATTCCTAAATTTAAAAGTCGTATTTTGCCATTCTGTACGGTTATTCCCAACGACATATGACTACCAGACCCCGAACCGGGCCGCCATCTTTGAAGCGAATTGAACGCGCTTCCGCCATG